TTCAGCCCCCCCTCCAGCAGCCTGCAGCCCGGCAAGATGAGCGACGTGAGCCCGGTGGTAGCTGCGCAGCAGTCTGCTGCTCAGTTCAAACTGCTCTTCTTCCCTCCACCTGACCAGCAGCAGCAGCAGCAGCAGCAGCAGCAGCAGGAGGCGGCCGCAGCGGCGGCGGCGGCGGCGGCGGCAGCAGCAGCGGCAGCGGCAGTGCCCCGGTTGAGGCCGCCGCACGACAATCGCACCATGGTGGAGATCATCGCCGACCACCCGGCCGAACTGGTCCGCACCGACAGCCCCAACTTCCTGTGCTCTGTGCTGCCCTCGCACTGGCGGTGCAACAAGACCCTGCCCGTGGCCTTCAAGGTAAGAGACTGGCCACCCTCAGCCCCCGGCCGGGCTCGGTGGAACCTGCCCGCGGCGGTCTCGGTGCCCAGGGGGGTTCTCCAAGACTCCAGACTTGGTGGCCCCGACTCAGGGGACCGAGGTGGCCACGGTCTACCTACCCCCGCAGCGGTCACCGTGAGCAGAGCCCCTTCTCACCTGTGCCCACTTATCACTCCCATCCCAGCCTGGGTCTCCTGGCTAGTTCATCCTTCGTGTCTCCCAGTCACGGCTCTTGCCGATTCCCCTGCTGGAGCCCCTTGGCCCCAGACGCCCGCCCGAGGTGCCCACTGTGAGCCTCGAGCCGCTAGCTCCACCCCGCCCCCTTCCCCCGTGGCGCGGGTCCCCGCACTCCTCCCAGGCATCCCGGCCTTCTCTCCAGGATTCTGTGCTCTCCTTCCCGCCTCTCCCAAAGTCGCAGGCCGCTCCGAGGGGTTGGCGTCCCCTTCCCGGATTGGGTGCTGCTTGGCAGTCCCGGCAGCTCCCGGGCTCGGGCCGGGTGCCTACGGGGCGCCGGTGCCTGAGGATGCTTGCGCCTGGGGCGTGACGAGGTGCCAGCCGTGCGTGGCGAGAGGGTTGAGGGTGCTCAGCAAACTTGGGGATGCGGGGCAGCGGGGACGGACAGGGACTTTTGAGCCCTCCTTGGCGGGCTCCGGTTCCCGTTACTCGGAGGAAGGCGGGGTCGCCGGGGTCCCCGCTTTTATCGAGGCCTGGCAGCTGCGGGGTCCAAGGCGCTGGATCCCCGAGTGCAGGGATGAGCGTCGGGGAAGGGGATCCCGGCTTAGGTTGCCTTCTCCCGCCCCGCTCAGCCCGGGAGGAAGAGGGAAACTATGGAGCAACTTCGGCGGGTCAGAATGAAAACAGAGGTGAAAATTCGTAGATTTGCTTTATTGCCTTGAAAGAGCCAGAAATCCCCAAAAGTCAGGTCTGCTCGGGAAGGGCGGTGGGTGGCTCCCGCCGGAGGCTTGGGCGCCAAGGTGCGCCCCCGCGGCCTCCTTCACCGGAGTCCGTTAGCTTGCCAGCACCGGTAGCGGTGGGAGTCGGGCGGCCGCCCGCAGGTTGAAGGTGTTCGGGTCCCCAGCCTCTGGCCATAGCTATGGTGCAATCTGGGGTTCCCAGAGCCACCTGGGAAGGTGGTGGTAGCGCGGAGCACCCCCCACCAGAAGAGACGGTGCTGGGTTGATGGCTGTCCACTCTCGCTGGTTTAGACGCTAGGGATAGAGGGGGTGAGCCAGCCAGGGAGGTGAGTCCCAAAGGCGCCTCCAGCTCTAGTGGGTGGGCCTGGGACCCAGCATCTGTGGAGAGCAGGTTAAGTATGATCTTGAAAGAAAGAAAGGGAGAGAGGGAAAGAGGGGGGCAGAAAACGGGAGATGGTGCCAGTTCCTTCACCCAGGAGTCTGGTGCCAAACTCCCACGGGGCCCCTTGCATTTTCCCCGTCGTTGGTCGCCAGTTTACCCCCCCCCCCTGCGCGCACCAATTCAGATTCCGTGTGTGGGTGGGGTGGCGGGGAGGGGGGCCCAGGTCAATCGGAGCAGTTATCTCTTCAGGGCTTCTATCTGAACAGAAATCTGAATGGGCTCTTATGGAAGGGGTATGTGTTGCACTCTATCGCAAGTTTCATTTTGTAGTTGGATCGAGCAGAGCTCCTTAAAAAAACACACATGTCACATTTCTCCTTTTCGAGAGCATCCATTTTGTAGACTAATGTTTTCTTTGAAATGTGAAAAGGTCAGATATAGGTGAAATTGTAGAAAATGGTATTTCCATATGAGAGGTATCTTTTGCAATGTCTATCAGCCAAGGGCCCGGAATTTTCTAAGCAGTCTCTGTGAGGGTAGACATTTTTTTTTTTTAACAAAAACCAAGCAAAAATCTTTTTCCAAACCTAAATTAAAGTAGGGATATTCACAAGTCAGTAGATATTTTGTCTATGCAAGGCCATGCATTAAAGTTTAAACTTTATTAATTCGCTGTCTAGCATTTTATGCACCTTCTGGTGTGACTGTGCTTAGGATATAACTGTCTTGAACCGCTCATCTTAAATGCTGATAAAGATGGAATGTGATTCAGTTTGAACTTTTCTTGGATTTCAAACCTGGATATTCTAACTAGTTTTTAAAACTCTTTGAAAATGAATTTCTTTGTTGTTAAGCATTCTAGTCATAGAGTGCGTTCTTTTTTTGTTTTAACCAGTAAACAGACCATTGATAACAATAGGGCATACTGTAATATTTAAATTTGTAATACATTGAGTTAGCCAAGGGCTGGACGCTCAGCGTTCTCCCCACCTGTCCAATGGCATTCAAGAAGTGGGTGATAGCTGAGGCTCACTCCTAACAATTTTGTCTCTCTGCATATATATATATATATATATATATATATATATATATATATATATATAGATATATATATATATTTGGAGGTTCAAATTTTGACAGTGACTTTTATGATTTTCATTTCAATGATGTAACAACAGCCTTTTAAAAATAACTTGCATTGGGAATAAACGCATGAGCAGAGCAGACGTCTCATATTCTTAACATAATGGAATACATCTGCAGTGAAGACAGAATGTGAAGAAGTCCCCGTTTCCGAAGTGGTGACAGCGATTTGGCTGTCATATCCAGAGCGATGTAGGAAATAAGTTATAGTATTGTTAGGTAAAAAGCACAGAGGTAAAGACCCTTAAAACAGCCCCCACCCCTGACTTAGAGAACACAATTGTTGAGAAATCTAGTGTTCAAATCAATACAATATTTCCTGAGCCCATACTTCAGGTTTGTGACACAGTTTGACTTCAGTCAGCTAGAAATGAATTCAGTAGACCGTTTTCCGTCTGATAACTCACACAGCGCCGCAACATGATATTGACAGTGGATTATTTTAAGAAGTACTGAATCTACTGGTATTGTCCATAGAATGTAATTTGAGGATTTTTAAAAAAGAGCCCTTGTTTAATGTATATTCAACATGTAAAAAACACAGAACTGCTAGTGGTCTTCATGCAAAGTCCAGGTCACCATTGTACTTTTACCAAAGTTCTGCAGTTTTGAAATAGCCAGTCCTTCCAGGTGTCGAGGAAATAGAAATACATATTTTTAACACTTCTTTCAGGTGTGTCTCACTAAAACCCTAAAATAGTTTAGGCCTCCTCTTCGAGGATGCTCGGCCCTTTCTGTCCCAGATGATTTTAGTGAGCAGATGAAGCAGTTTGCAAATTCAGCTCAATAGTTGGTGGTTGGTCTGGTAGACAGAGTGGCTAGAGTATGTCAGCCCTGCATCCAGTAGCACCCTTTGAGTTAGGGGCCTGTCAGCATCTCCTCTGTGCAGCCTGCTGTTCAGGGTTCATAACTAAGCTGCCTTAAATAGCTTCAAGCTGAAACACTTTGTTGACATCCAGATGTATATCTTAAAACTCAAAGTGGTAAAGGCCCATGTCACTGTTTTAAGTTAGAGAACATGAGACCATCGATATTCACGAATATCACTTTTTTTTTTCTAGCAATGTTATAGGAGAAAGCATCTTTAGATTTAGGACCAAGGACTCATAATTAATTTTGTATTTTTAATAACATCTTTCAGTGTAGATGAAAAGAGTTTCCAAATGATGGTGCAATTTCTATTTGAGACGGCTTTGTTGACATCATTGGCCATTTTTCTTACTTTAAATACAATTTTGCAACTTATGCGTACTTGGTGTTAGTGAGTTATATCTTTCTTAAGTGTTTAATGATTAGATTTTGTTTATATCTTTAAATAAATCTAACTGTGGCTTAATAAGGGAAGATACCATTGAGCTTGTCAAATCCTTATTAAGCCCAATACAAAATGTTTTTGCAAAGTTATGTCAATCACAGTACATTAGTTTATATGAAGACAGGGCACACTGCTTGTGAAACTCATTTAAAGGCAAATATTGTGGGGCTGAATATATATAACTTATTAGTAAGTTACAATAAATTTTAGGTGGAAAATACATACTTTTTTAAACGCTGGAAAACTTACATTTGAGGAAAAGTACGGTAGGCACCTTTCTCTGTATTTCCTCCTTTGGCAACACTGCTTTTGTGTTTCCAGAGTTCCAGAATATTTACTGCTAGATGATCTAAGTCATTGTGATTCATGGCACATGGATTGCTAGCTTAAACTGAAAAAAAATTCAATTTGTTGTTGGACATATATTTAAATTTTTGAGATGACATATTGTATTAATTTTTCTTTTAGAATTCAATTTTTTTTTCTGAGTTGAGGAAGCTTTCCTGGATTAAGTTCGAAAGCCACACTGTAGCATTTATTGAAATATTCCTATAGTTTACTTTTAAAAAGATAGACTTTTCTTTTGTTTTTGCTTCTTGCGATTATTGAGTGGCCTCTCTCTTCATTACGAAGAAAGATATGGTCAGATTCTATCTTGGAAATAATTATATTTCATTTTACTGCATGTGCAATATGCCAAAATAATGTTAATCTGTCAGAGTAATTGATTAGCTTAGACTAAACTGCTGCCCATGCAGATGTCATGGGCAATTGTAAGCTTCCAGTATGGCAAGACCACAGGAACAGGGGGCCAAGTCAAATTCACCATCGCTCCTCATTCAGAGTGAGGCACAGATTTAGTCATAATGGGTCTCGGACAAAATTTCAACATCACTAGAGTTAAATACCCCCTAACTTCGTTTTGTACACGCTGCATATTGTGTGGTTTAAGTGCTGCTTACAGTGGGGTACGCTAAATAAAGGAAAATGTTTCTCAATTCTGGAATGTCAGAACAGAAACTGACTCCTCTCTTTCTCATGCTTTTCTTGACTTTGTTATATTTTAAGAACACCTAGAAGTGTAATTATCATGATTTCATCACGAATTATTCTTTGCAGAACAGTACTTCGTGTTGGGTAGCATAGGAAAAAATTCAGTTCATGCTTCCTTCTAACGAGTTAAAGAGTGTGCTTTTTAATTGTTCTTTTTACCCCTTAAAACGTTTTTTCCATTGCTTGAGTTTAGTATAGATTAAACGTGTAAAAATTTCTTCATGCTTTGGTTTTCTTTTAGATAAACACGATTGAGAATATTTAAAGGAAACTTTTAAGCCTAAGACATCTACTTTAAAAAGTATTTAACATGTAATGAAACTTCTGAATGATATAAAGTCAAGTACAGTACTCCCCCTCCCAAGACATGGGCCACCCCCTCCTCAGAAAAAATATTGGTCAGTCTTGTCTGGTAGAATGAATAATAGAAAATACACTATATTGTAGCCACTGGACTGGACTGAAGCTCAGCTTTAACAGAAATATTGTCACTGTGTGTGACATTGGCATGTTCTCTAGGCCCGAGTTCTAAGCCTCATAGAAGGTACACATAACTCGTAATTATCCATATGTTTTGCTAAATATGATCTGTAAATGCCTGTATTTAATACCATCATTATTATGCTGTTTTAGTAAAGTGGATTTATATATTTCACTCTTAAGAATCTTTCATATTTTCCCTTATTGAATCAATTTTTGTTCTCTTCTAACTTAAAAAAAGTCCATTATGTTAAAAATATGTAGTAAAATAATAGTGTTCCAAGCTCTTGAAAAACCTTTAAACTGTGGCAGATTTCTTTATTATAATTTTTATTACTTTCTGAAACACTGCCGGATTGGAGTGGAGCCTGCAAAGGGTCAGCCTTTTCCAACAGTATTGCAGAGCATTTGAGGCCAGGAAGCAGAGTCACACCTTCAGTGGTACTCTTAAAGGTCCACCACTAAAAGCCTGTGTTTAGCAGGCAGCAGATGTGGGACTGCCATTTTCTTTATCTTACCCAAAGCAAGATCACTATAATGACACTCTGTGCTCATGTGGCATCTTCTACATTTCATGGCATAAAAAATTATTTTCAATTTATATTAGGAAACCATGGTTCTCAGAGACGAGATGATTGGTATAAGGTCATAGTAGGTATGTAGAAAGACTATGGGGGGAAGTGGAGTCTCTTGCTTTTTAGTGCATATAGTACTTTCTTTCACCTTTATTAATATTTATTTTGAGATCGAAAGGCAGGCAGCAGGTGTTAAAATCCAATTTACCAAATGTACAAAATGTCTTAATATTCAGGTGAATCCTGGCCGACATAGTCAATTACTTCTGTATTTTCAAATGTGCAGTTTTGGCTTCAGAGAAATGCCTCATGGTCAGGAGTTTTAGTAACGTCGGCCGCCTCTCTCCCCACCCAAGTTGCTAGACCAAGGTGACAGAGAGGAAGTCTTGTTCTCAAGGGATTTGCTTTTGACTCAGGAGACTTCTCGAGTTGAGAATGGCTGTGTACTCCAGGCAATACCGGTCTCCACCAAGGACACTTGGCTGTTGGCGAGGCGTGCTGACTCATCCCCTGACTGGTTCTCTCAGCATTTTAGCTGCTAGCCCACAGGCGGCTGGCTGCTGAGAACAGTGCTTTTTCATGGAACTCTTTCATTTACTTGACACACACACACACACACACACACACACACACACACACACACACGCACGCACACACGCACACACACTTCCTATGTGAGGCTGTGGAGTGCCATGGCATGCTTGTGGTGATCACAGAACACCTTCAGATATTGGCCCTTGTCTTCTACCTTGAGGCAGTCTCTTAGCTGTTTGCGGCTGTGTACTAGGCTGAATGACTCAGACGTTTCTGCTCACCCCATCTCCCAGTGAGGGTGCTGGTATTACAAATGTCAGATCTGCATCTCTTTGTGTCTGGCCTTTACGTGGGTGGGCTCTGAGGATTTGAAATCAGCCCCCCACACGTCCATAGCAAGCACTCTGCCCACCACCGAGCCATCTTTCTGGCTCCCATTTTAAAAAAAAAAAATACTCATCAAACACCTCCTAAGATGCCAGGCACAGTTTTGGGAGTTGAGGCATGTAAACAAACTAGATGAAATGAAGGCCGTTCTTCAAATTTTGGGCTAATCTAGTAAAAAGAGGTATTAATCGCCAATCTATAGGCTGTAAAACTGAGAGTGACTAGACACGGTGGGATACTGGGAATGTGAGTCCAGCACTTGAAGGGAATTGAACTGAGCAAGGTACAAAGTTGAAGAAACCGGGAAACAGCCTAAGAGTCAAGTAAGAGTGACAAAATGTCTGGACAAGGTTTCATTTTGTTTGATTGTTTTCCTGGCTGGGTATCATGGGGACACCTGGGGGGAGGGGGCACAGACCGGGACCGTTCAGCCCTAAAATATAGTGCCCGTGTACCCCTGGAGAAGAGACACACTTTAAGGAGGATACATACCCAGGGTGCTGGGGAAGATCTGAATGTGTTGGGCGGGAACTCGGACAAATGAGAACACAGAGGCAGAGGTGGGAAAAGATGGAGCGGGGTGTTTGCTAGACAGACCAGCGCACAGGGTGCTGTGTCAGAATGGCCGCGTTAGCTGGGCCAAGTTACCACAGGATACCTGGGCCCTAAATGAAGAAATGGCAGTAGGAGGTGCAGGGAATCCTGGGAGTTCTGGGAGAGGATGGGGCTGCCCCTGAGGAGCAGGGTCTTGGTGGTGGACTGAGAACAGAATGCTTTCTATGTGACAGGGAAGGTTCCCCAGGGCCAGCGTTCTCTTACCAAGGTTCCCTGTTAACTCAAGGTACACAACAGACCTAGGATGAAGTGATTCTGAGTGTGTGTTAGCCTCAGAGACAGGTTATCCTGTATCCTGCTGAATTAACTGTTGAAGACCACAGGGGCAAATGTGGCATTCCAACAGGGTAAACGGAATAGAATGGGATTGTGGGTATGGGTGTGTGCTTAGTTATGTGCAGGTGCACATGCATGTATATATGTTTGGAGGTCAGAGTCAACACTAGGTGTCTTTTTTTTTGGAGCTAATTTTATTTTATTTTTTTTTGGCTCTTCTGTGGGTTCTAGGACTTGCTGTTTAGGGTAGAATGCTGATCTACCTCAGTCTTCCTTCTTCTGCTTCCCCAGAGCTGGGATTACAAGCACATGCCATAACACCTGGCTTTTTACATTTCCTGTAGTGATCAAACTCTGGGCCACACGCTTGAAGGCAGGCGCTTTCCCAACCAAGCTTCTCCCCAGCCTGGGGTATATTTCCTGATTGTGTCGAGATCACTTTCTGCCTTGTGTAGGCCTTTACTCTGTACCTAGACTTCATTCGTTTGATAGCTTCGACTGTCTCACTGGGCCCCACAGCAGAGAAGGCCTGCGGCACACATTCACAGTGTCGTTAAAAGGTGACCGTTTAGCCCCATGTAGGGAGATGAGCTGTAAGACACCGGCCCTACCGCTCCGTATGCAGTGTCTCAGCCAGTAACTAGGAGTTTCACCCGAAAAGTCCTTTTCCATAGAGCTAATCAGGGTCTGTCTACCATGTCTCTGTCTCTCTCTGTGTGTGTGTGTGTGTGTGTGTGTGTGTGTGTGTGTGTGTGTGTATGCACACGCGCGCGCGCACACACACATGTGCTGTCAGAATGCATGTGGAAGACAGAGGTTGACATTGGCATGTCTTCCTCACTTGCTCTCTACCGTGTTTTCAGATCACATGTATGTATGTCTGCATGCACTCTCATACATGCATGTACGTGTGGAGGTCAGAGGACAACGGGACACCTCTGCTTCTCTCCTATCTTGTAGGTCCCAGGAATGGAACTCAAGTCAAACTTGGTGGAAAGTGTTTAATCCAGGGAGCCATCTCTGTTCCCCTCCACCTTAGGTTTTGGGACAGAGCCTCTTACAGGAACCTGGAGCTTGCAGATTAGGCTAAGCTGGTTGGCAAGCTCTCTGAGATGGCCTGTTTTTCCACCTTCTACCAGGGATTGCACGTGCAAGCTGCCTTCCCCCAAGTTTCTGCACGGTTGCTGAGGATCTGAACTCGAGTCCTCATGTTTCCGAAGCAGGCACTTCTCCCACCGAGCTGTCTAGGACCCCTAAATACTCTTCTGTTTTTAGCTTATGATCTGACTTGAGACCACACCTCACGGTTCTTGGGGCTGTAGACAGTTGACACCTTAATATGTACAGTGCGATCTGCAGATGGGGCATCAGCCTTCTTTCTGAGGTATAATTCCCGCAGACAGTCTAACATGGGGATTTAATAAAAATGTACATATATTCTGTGAAGAACTGGACAATAAATAAAGGGAAATTTAGCTTGCTTTCATAATGGGTGGACCCTGAACCACCCATTTGAAGTAGTGTCATAACCCAGATGCTTCCCTTCTGGTCTGCCGTGGCTGGCCCACAGCACTGGGTCCTGATAAGACATGGTTTACAGTGAGCATGTGTTCTCAGTCTTTAAGTGTTTCTGATGTGCCACCGTGCCTTCTGTATTTCCTGTTTTATGTAGGTGGTAGCCCTCGGAGAGGTACCAGATGGGACTGTGGTTACTGTCATGGCGGGGAATGATGAGAACTATTCTGCTGAGCTCCGAAATGCCTCTGCTGTCATGAAAAACCAAGTAGCAAGGTTCAACGATCTGAGATTCGTGGGCCGGAGTGGACGAGGTAGGTCTTTGACTTTTACTCTGGGCGTGTAGTAAACACATTACGCTCTCCGACGCAATGCGGACTTGTCCACATGCAACTCAGCATCTTTTTACTGAAACAGAACCACCGAAGGTTTGTTTAAATACATCCAGATGCCCTTGAGTGTTTTCATTTGTTTTATGATAGTGAAGAGTCAAACGGTGTTTTCAGAAGAACTAGCTCCTAATTTCATGGGGCGGAGGAGGGGGGCGGGGGGGGGAGTGGTTAATGTGTACAGTAGAGGAAAGAATGCTCAGAGCATCAAGTTCTGAATTATGAGGAGTCATGTGACTTGAGTAGACTGAAAGGCAATGGGGAACGGAATGGGATTGCTTTGGAAACGTTTCCTACAGTATCAGCTTTACTCTGAGTTGAAATGGGGACAGCTAGATCACTGTCTTCCCTTAGAGATATCACCTCTGGATGCTTTCAATTAGTCTTGTAATAAGAACCTTTTAAAAATCATTGTTTAGGCTTTATTTTATTTATTTATTTATTTATTTATTTATTTATTTATTTATTTATTTATTTATATTTTTTTAAGACATGGTCTTACTACGTAACCCTGGCTGGCCTGGAACTTGCTATGTAGATCAGGCTGACTTCAAACTCGCAGAGATCTGCCTGCTTCAGCTTCTAGAGTGCTAGGTTAAAGGCCACCAAGCTTGGCTGAAGGCTTTTTTGTTTGAATTACTTATGTGAGAACGGCTGTAAAATTTCCCAGACAACTGATCAGGATCTCAGTGGCTCCACAGTGTTTCGGGTCTTCAGTCATCAGAATCCACATTAAGATATCAGGAGCATTTAGAGGGGTCACGAAACAGGAAGTAATTCTTTTAAGGATTTCACCACTGTTTCAGAAATGGAATTCTCTTTTGACGGAGTCTCTAAGGAGATCAATATTTTGTTTTTTATTTACTTACTCTCCAGAGTGACTGCTGCTGTCGGAAGTATTATGTTCATTCCGTTTATTGGATCTAATATTTCCATTTCAAGTGTTACCCTCAGAGAGGAAAGGAGTAGGACCACTTTAGCACCGAGGTGATGTGAACCCTGGTGCCTGAGTGTGTTCCCTGCAGCCCGGGTTTGAATCAGGAAATGAGAAACACCCATTCTAAACCATGTCGAATAATTACTCTCCAGTTTGGGTCATATGTCAAATTATTACCATTGTAAGAACTTGATAAGGGGAATTTAAGCAAGACTGTTTCCGATGAGTAGTTTTAGTTACTTTCTAGGAATGGGGCCAAGAGGCTGTACTTTTTAACTTAAGGAAAAAAAAAAAAAAACGCATGTTAATGAAATGCTGTCACTGAAAGGTTGTTTGAACCGAATGAGGTGCAGAGACTCTGAGCGAACCAAGCTAAAGGGGTTGTCTCTGTAAAAGGCTCTCTACTCCTTCGTTAGAAGACCGGGAAGACGCAGCTTCTCTCTGGTGACGGACTGGGTTGGAGGGTGTGTGTGTGCAGTCATTCATTCATTACTTCATCTCCACTTGTGTGTGGTCATTCATTCATTACTTCATCTCCTCTTTCTGCAGTTCTGTTTGTTTCTTAGTTACTGTTGCAGAGTCACAGCACACTTAAGTTTCTCCCTTTCCTCCTGAAAAAAAAAAAGTAAACATAATGAGGTGTGTTCTCAATGTAAATGTGATGATGTACCTGTATATTCTAAATCACATCTTTCATCTTATGTTACTGTGAATTTTAATATTTAAAGGATGGGCTGCTACTCTTAATTTTATTTTACAGATCCAAACTTGTGTTTTCATTTATTGCACTTTTGTGTTATATAGATACTAAATCAGCGCCCCCCTTTTTTCTGATCAATTTGACTAGAAACTATGGTGGAGTGATAGTGTACTTTGTAAACCCTCAACATATTTATTTAAGAAACTTCAAAAGGAAACAAAGGGTGTGCGCTGTTTTACTATATTGGCTTTCTGAGTTTTGGCTGGTTTCCCAAATAGCAATTTTTATATTAAAAAAAAAAAAGACAGACTTAACTGCTTGCAGACTTTTCACGCATGGAAGATGAAGGAGGCCTCTTTTGATGAAGTGTAATTATGTCCAAACAGAGCTGACCCCCTCCCCCTATATTTCTTATGATCTTAACTGAAGAAAGTAGGATTTTTCCTTTGAAGCAGCTGGGACGTGGTGGAGGATCTGAAGTGCTCCAGTCTGCTGCCAGAGGCAGGATGGAGAAATTGGTCCAGACTTGTCTTCGAGACTGGGGGGGGGGGGGGGGACGGGGAGTGGGTGGAGAGAGAGAGAGAGAGAGAAATTGATTTATCACTAATAATAGATTTTATATTACTGTGTTACTTTGAATAAGAGGAAGCAATAAGATTAAGCTAAAATGGAGAGAGAGAAAAGACAGAGTGCACCAATAAGAGGAGGTTCTGGACGAAAATGAGTCAGGTTTTCAGTTGCAGGAAACCCTCAAGCCTGACCTGCTTTTTACAAGACTGTCCCCAGCTTCCTCTCCGACTCACACATCTTCATCTCTGTTGCTAAGTCTTCACTGCATGCTTTGTTGATGGATGGATGGATGGATTTTATCTCAGCAACTTTTGTCTGATGGATGGATTTTCTCTCCCAACTTTACAAAAATGTGTCTTCGATGGTGTTTAAAAGAAAAGAAAAACAAAACAAAATAAAAATCAAGTTTTGTAAATATTATGTTTCTTTTAACCTTTTCACTTGTGGACACATAGACTCTGAAATTGAAAATTGGGCCTTAGGTTTACAAAGCATTCATGTTTCCATTCGCTTTTGCTTCCTAGATCATTGCAGGACCCAGCATTCAAAAATGCCTGAGATAAAGTACAGCGTCCGTGAAGCTTGCATGAAGTTGTGTTTTTTAATCGTCTCTTCTTTTTCCTCCTTAATATTTTACACAGAAGGGCTTAAAATGACTTTGACCATTTCTTCCCCTCCTCCTCCTCCTCCTTGTTTCTTCTTCCTCTTGGGTGTGCTACCCTCTTTTGATATCAAGCAAGCTGCTTTTGATTTACAAGCCTTTTAAAGCATTTACAGTGCACAGAGTGTGGTGTTTTGTCCTTTTAGGACACAATCCTGTGTACGGTCTGGCTCTTCCTGGCAGCCTCTGAGGCTAAATTGGAACTGTCTTTCGGTGATGGTTCCCCTATGGATCTAAGAAATGATAGGGCCTTGACTGATATCGCACGACTAGTTCCTAGATGAAACTGTAGATGATATAATTGGCTTTGCCTAAGTAGAATTCGGATTCTGTGTGTCAGAGGGTTACGAATGTGTTTGCACATGTGTGCGCTGGTACCGGTGAGCACATGTGGAGGTCAGAGGCTGATGTTGAGATGGCTTGTTCAGTCTCTTTTCCACTCTTTTTTCCAGACATGGTTTCTCATGCAGTTCACTGTGTCAACCAGACTGGGTGACTCTGTGTCCCATGATCCTCCTGTACTTTGCGCTCCAGTGCTGGGGTTACAGGCACACATTGCCCATTTTTTTTTTCTTTAAACATGGGTGCTGAGAGTCTGACCTCAGGCCTTTCTTACTCACTGAGCCGTCTTCCCAGCCCAAGTAAGATTTGTTTAAAATATCATCACTAGCCTTGATTAGTGGATCATCTATAGATGGTACCTTTCCACCACAGCTCTTGGAGCCACTGTTAAAATGTTATCCTGGCTGGGCGGTGGTGGCGCACGCCTTTAATCCCAGCATTCGGGAGGCAGAGCCAGGCAGATCTCTATGAGTTTGAGGCCAGCCTGGTCTACAGAGAGAGAGAAAGAGAGAGAGAAAGAGAGAGAGAGAGACAGAGGGAGAGATCCAAGACAGGGACCAAAACTACACAGAGAAACCCTGTCTCAAACAAACAAACAAACAAACAAACAAATTTGTAATCCTAGGGACCGGAGAGATGGCTCTGTGTCTAAGAGCACTTGCTGCTCTTCAAGATGACCAGTCTGGCTTGGTTCCTAGCATCCACGTGGCCCTTCACAACTGTCTGTCAGTCACTCTAGTTCTGGGGGATCTGATGCCCTCTTCTGACCTCCAATGGCATCAGGCATGCACGTGGTGGACAAACATACCTGCAGGCAAAACACCCATGCACATAAAATTGTGTAAAAATTGTAATTCTGGATCCATGCACCACTGGTCTTTTTGGAAAGTGGAATTTGGGAAATTTTTTGTTTTAAGTTAAGGAAATCACAAATGCCCACATAAACATTTGACTCAGGAAACACATTATTATAAGATGAGCTAATTAGTGAGTCAGGTCAGAGTTTCTGGAAATTTCTTCCACACTGTATACAGGGGCTGATCGGAGTGCAAAGAGCATTTTCTGGCTCTGCCTTCATTGTTAAAGCACAGTTTGAGCTGTAGAAATTGACCCTGGAAGACGACACTGTCTCCCCCAACCCTACCTCTTTTTAAATGTTTTTTTTCCCAAGATTTTATTTATTTACTAGTATTTTTTTATATTTGTTTTATTTTGTGTGTATGAGTGCTTTGACTGTATGTGTATCTATTTATGTACCACATGCATGCTTGATGCCTGAGGAAGTTGGGAGCCTCCATGTGGGTCCTCGGAATCCAACCCAGATCCTTTGCAAGAACAACAGGGCCAACTCTCAAGCCCCAAAGGCGTTTTTAGAGGGGGAAACTGGTTAATAACTGAGTATTGTGATGCTCGGGGCTTGAAGGATGGATTTTGTATCTGGCACTGTTTCTATATGAAGTGTGTTTCTCTGACTTTGAGGAGAACAAAGATAACTTATAACCAAACAAGTTGTAAAGGTTCAAAATAGAAACAACTTCCAAGCCAGTCATGATATGTTCATGGACATTTTCACTAGCAGGACCTGTAGAGACACCAAGGAAGAGCAAACCGCAGGCATTCTTGATGCATTAACATTAGCACCAGAGATGCTGTCTTCCAACACAGCCTTTGGAGCCAATTTAAAAATGTAACCCCGAGTCTGTGGACCACTGATCTCACCCAGAATGGTGTTTTAAAATGTCTTAATGCAAATCAACTTTGAATCCAGAGACTCAGCCATTGTTTTAAGTTCTTAATCTGGACCTCCTACTCAACCTTTTGATCTCCATTTCTGTTGACTTTGAGTTTTCTGGGACCAGTTTAGACTCCTGGCTGTCTTAGTCTTCTGGCCAATGTTAATGTTTACAAGAAATCCTCTTTTCTGTACTGAATTAAATTACTTAATTCCATGTAATATCTACAATGTAGTAAATACAATGTGATGTATCAGTAATACCTAAAAACAGATAATTTCATCCATTACATTAATCCATTTATATTTATTATTTCCTGGGCACAGGGAGCTAATTGGGACACATCTAGAAGTAAGTTACCTATTCCTTTTTCATAGTCTGTGGTAAAATAGGAGAAACCTCTGTTCATTTCCCCTCCTTCCTCCCTTTCATCTCTCCCCTCCTTTCCCTCTGTCCTTCCTTCCTGTCCTCCTTTCCTTCCTCCCTCCCTCCCTCCCTCCTCCTCTGCCCTCTTCTTTCCTTTCTTCTTTTCTGTGTGGGGGAATTGAACCCAGGGCCTTATACATGCTACCTATCTCTATCTCCCAGCTACAGCTCTACCCTAGAATATTGATTTTAAGGTCAGAAAGGTTTGAGATTAGTTTTTTTTCCCCACTTGGTAGTTGCAGGACCTCGGGTAAGTGACTGGGCTTCTCTGCGCCAAGCCTTCCTCATTTGTAAATTGGGGTGATGACTCGAATTGGGGAAGGTTAAGTGAGATGATGTGGTTGATGTGGCTGCAGCTTAATGAGTTTCTAATCAATATTCATCCATCTTAATTCTGCTCCTTCCCACATTCCTGCCCTGTCCTTCCCTCTTAACCCCCTTAGCTATGGAAAAGCAGTCAAGAGTCTTAAGACTATCCACGCACAGTAACAAATGATGTGTTTCTTAACCAGATTTTAGGAACTTACATGGTCTGGTTTGAAAAGAAAAGCCATTCAGTAGACTTGACAGCCAAAGACCTGTTCTCCATTAAGCCTGCCGCATAACCTGTTCCATATTAAGCTATGAAAAGATTGCATTAAACTTCACATTGCTACATATTGTCTAAGATTTGTGTTTTGATTTAGTACTCCCAGCTTTCAGTAGAAGGGGGAAAAATCTGACCAAAAAAACAAAGCAAAACAAAAGGAGCTTTTTATCTGCTCCAGGGGCAGACGCCCGCCGGCCCGGGTCCTCTGGCTCAGCCTGCTGATGCCTTATTGAGTCACTGTTTCCCGCCCACCTTTTCCTGTCTTGTAACAGTTTGCAGTTTTGACTCTCTGACATGACTAACCATTGCAAATCTAACTGATTGCAACTGTCAGTGAGTCTGTAGAACAGAGGCCAGCATCTTCTGGAGAAAGCAGACATTCAGATCTGTTACCACACTCTTCCCTGCCCCCCCACACCGTTATTCATCACTTTTAGTTCATTAATGTGACGCAGCAGAGGGAATCTATCACTGCAGAAAATCTCTCCGAAAAGTAAACTTCATGTTTGTGTGGAGAGGGGTCTTGCTTGTTTAGCAACAGATACGTTTCTATAGGGAGTTCCTTCAAGATTTCACTGTGAGATGTGTGTCAGGGGAGAGTGGGCTGGGAGGAGAAAACTGTTCCATGATGAAATCATATACCACAGGCGCGTTAAGGCTGGGACAGGAGACATGGGCTCCCGTTGAAATGATTCCCATAATAGCTTCCCTCTTTCATCTTATTACAGTTCACTTAAGCAGATGCAATGCTAAGGCCATGTGAAGTAAATAACATCACCAATAATAATTTACTGTTGTTCTCTCAAGGGGTCATGACCTGATCCTAAATAAAGACTTTTAAATTTCTCAGCCCTCACACAGGCTTGTGTTCCTAATGTTGGATAAAGTAGGAAGGCAGAGGCCCCTCTTCAAGGGGTCCCAGGGTTTTGTTCTCACTATTGAGAAGATTATTGGGGGGAGGGGAGCTGGAGGATTCTTGCATAGAACCTCAGGGAAGATTCCCAGAGTTTAGAAGAGTTCCTAAGTGGATTTCAGGTTCAGAGGAAGGATTCCTGATTGGTCGCTCCATCAGAGATGCTTCAGTGAAAATTGGGTGTCTATATACATTATTGTGGGGTTGTCATTGGCACCCATTTATAGTCACTGTGTTTTTTTCCCTTCTTCCATCTACAGGCAAGAGTTTCACCTTGACCATAACGGTCTTCACAAACCCTCCCCAAGTGGCCACTTATCACAGAGCTATTAAAGTGACAGTGGACGGTCCCCGGGAGCCAAGAAGTAAGTACTTACCTTTCTGTTGAAAATGCTAAGAGTTTATGGAGACCCTATGAGGGATTTATTCTGAAGGAGTCAGTACCACTGTGACTATAAATTTTTAGGGAAGGACTGTTAATAGAATTTTACAGTTAGTAGAAAATAAAATCATAGCTTGACCTTTCTCAGAGTTGCTTAAGGTTTTATAACTTTGGGGAACAAGCAGATAGCTACTCATTGTGGTAACTTTCAGCTAAGAAACTCTGTTCATCCATTCTGTGCAGTGGGCAAGGCCAAAGGGACCCACGAGGCTGAGGAAGCAAATTATAAACTTAAAAATCTTAAACTTAGTCAAAAAATATTTGTGTGTGTTTCCCATGGCCCAAGAATGCGTTTTAGCTCGCCCACTCAGTTCCCTTTATAAAGAGTACAGGGCTTAATTACAAAGAATTTATTTGCAAATGATAACTTGCTTCATTGTTACAACACTGTTGTAGGACCATTTTCTAGTAAGTGTTCTAGATAGTTCCTTTTAACAGAAAGGCACAAAGTAGGTTTAAGTTCACGTTGGTTTCTTTGTCTGTCTATTGGGAAGGTTGATCCAGTAGTCAGTTGAAGGTAGTGTACTTATGCTGTCTGGGCCAATATTTATTCTCCTCCCGACTCTGAAGCAGATCTGACTGGCTTCCAGCCCTGCTCCTGCCACCCACTGTGGTTTGCACAAGCTTGGTATAGCAGCATTAAAATACATTTACAGAGTAAAGGTTATTTGAAGTTGAAGTGTGAAGAGTTCTGCGCTATATAATATGATAGAAATATTATAGAAAGCTCTGTCTTTGCTGGCTGAATATTTTGGAGTCCGAGGCATTGCTTTTAGGAAGTTAGATTTGGCTTATGATGGGGTGGGCAACTGATAGAAGTTCTAATATGTTACCCCCACCCAGACAGTGAGGCTGGGCTCTTTCCTTCCCCTGGAGTAAGAGAGAAGGTCTGGAGAGGCAAAGCCTGTCTCTCTGCTTCACATCTTTCAGCAATGGGCTCACACAGTAGCCCCCACCCCTTATGCGGCTGTCTTCTCCACAAAGGCTGACTGCTTGCCTGAGCGAGAAAGGTTTCCTGCCCCCCAAAGACGTCTTTGCGGCTAGTTTTCCCCTCCTGTCATGTGTATGGTCTTCTTTCAAATTCCTAATGTCGGGTCAGTGCTGGCCCTGCCCAGTCTGGAAACATCGTATTAAGTGCTTTGATTCACATGTGGTGTGAGTGAGAGCCCCCAAAGCTTAGGTCTCAAAGGTCAGAGGTCACGCAGCACAGGTGAAGAGAGAAGAGCAAGGATGTCTTGGCTGGTTAGGGCTTTGCTAGTCTTTTCTGGATTGCCATAAATCAGGGTTGATTTCCCTCCGAGGCAGGACATCTTCCAAGCGTTTACCGGACATGCCCTTGAGCTGCTGAAGAGGCAGTCCCATTTCCTGGGCGCATAAGGCGGCACAGTGGCCTTTTAATGTTTATTCAACACCACTAATATTTGCCTTCGAAACATGGTTCCTGCTCATCCCAGCTGCTTTCTTCAGTACATAGACAAGCGATTATTGGGCATGTGTCTGTCTTGAGTGCGTGTGTATTTATAGTGGAGATGGGTGCTTCCGAGTCGATGGCTAGAGAAGCAGGGAAGGAAGGGTGGAAGCTGCTCCGTTCTAAAAGAGATGGTAAAAGGTGAGCAGGCTGGTGGCTTTGGGAAAGCCACTCCTGGTTCTAGTGTGGGATGGTAGTATCTCATTTCAAAGAGATTGCTTTTGGGGGGGTTGGAGGGGAGCAGCATGAGTTAGCTGATAGATCTACTGGCCTGTGAAGACAGAGACATGCCCTGAAGGCTGTGGAGTTTGGAATAGAGGATGCACACTGTATGTGCAATCTGAGTATGTGCTTCGGGTAGTCCTGAGGGAAGTAGGAAGCAGACACAGACCTAGGAGTACAAGGCTTTGTGGCATTTCTTTTTCTTTTCTTTCTTTTCTTTCTCCCCATTCCCCTCAGTTTTTCAGAGTAGCAGTCCTGGCTGTCCTGGAATTCACTTTGTAGACCAGGCTGTCCTTGAACTCACAGAGATCCACCTGCCTCTGTCTCCCAAGTGTTGGGATTAAAGGCGTGCACCACCAGGGCCAGCTAGCATTTCTTATAAAAATAACTACTGTCTGAAAACGGGACAACATTTCCCCACCACTGTATGGTTACTTGCCTGAATGTAGGAATGTATCTGGTATCAGTAACTAGTTAAACTTACCACTTGGACACTACTGGCTTCGATCCTTCTACGTTGGCCTTCGTCATCTGTCATAAGGACTCAACTATGTCACAAGGATTCAACTTCATCATTTTACTGCAGAAGCAGTCTAAGCCAATACACAAACAAGTAGTCACAGCTGTATTTAAATAAAACTTTATTTACAGGGCCAGAGAGATGGTGAATCAATTAAGAGAGCTAACTGCTCTTGTAAAGAACCCTGGTTTGATTCTCAACACTCACATTGGGTGACTCACAACTTCCTGTAACTCCAGTTTCAGGGGACCCGAACCCTTCTGGTTTCTGTAACCCCTTGCATGCAAATGGTGCACATAAAATCATGTAGGCACACACATACACATAAATAATAATAAAAGTATCTTTTAAATAAAACCCCAGCTTTATAAAAACAAGTGGTGGGCCACATGTGGCCCACAAACTATAGTTTCCATCCTTGCTCTAGACTTCAAAGTAGCTTATTTGATCAACCTTCAACAGAGAGGGCTTTGAGTAAAAGGCTTTCCTACACACAGAGAAAAAGATAATCAATACAATTGATTTAGTCGGTCTTTCCTCCAATTATAATTCCTGAAGTAGCTGCGATTTGCCATCAAAGTTGCATATTTCTGTGTGTTACTTGAGTGGCTGGAAAGAGTGGAGGACTTATTGTTCCTGTTTTTCAGTGGAAAGTCTTTCCCCTAAAGTCCTGTGTGTATACGGAAGTGATCGTTTCCAGTGGCCCAGATGACTGGATTAGTACTCATTCCGAGTTCACTGGTTGGGTCTGTCACACTGCTTGGACTGAAATCTCAAAGCCAGCATTTCTTAGGTGTCCACAGACAACAGACATGTCCCCCAGCTAGTCTTTGCCTTGTTTTTCTCATCTTCTAAAGAGTAATGGAAATACTATCTGTCACATCAGTTGCTGTGAGAACATTAAGCGGAACGTGGTATGTAAGCTAGGTAGTGTGGTAGCCATGGTGTAGTAAGTGCTCATTAAATGTTAGCTGTTATTGCACCTTCAGAGGCTTGTATGCAGACTTTTATGTCTGTGTCCCGGAAACAGGTGCCAGGTAATCTGCTCTCTACTGTGCTGTTTTTTTTTCCTTGAATAAAGCTTTACTAATTTTTGCACAGTAATAAATGACACTGATCTGTGTTAATAGATGCTGCTCTGAGCAGATATTTATATCACACTGCCTGGGGAGAACCGTGCAGAACTGGTGAGTAACAGTTCTGTGTGCTACAAACTCCCAGGCAGGGTGCTGTGTGACACCCCGGTCCCACTCCGAGGCCCTACCTATCAACACATCTGCCAAGATTTGCTTTTCAGTCCAGATGGAAAGGACTCATCCTTCTGTTTTTTTTTTTTTTTTTTTTTTTGGTCTCTGGCAGCCAAGCCCGGGCTGTCGCATCACAAACAACTCCCTTTCTTAATATACACATCTGGCGTTGGCAGTTTGGACTTGTTTCATAAGAGCACATGATCATCACTCATTACAAGATTAAAAAGGACCCCATGGCATCATTGATGTTTTCCAACTTTGATCTTCTGCCGTTGTGATTCATCTCAGTTATAAAACTTCCCTTTAAAGCAACCTAGGCCATGCCTTGCTAGAACCTTCATCTTAAGCAGCGTAAACATGAGAGCGGTGCACGTTCTTTGCAAAGTGACATTTTCTGTCCTTGGCCCAGCTTATCATTCTAAGACATGACATCATACCTAAGATCCCAAATTTGTAAGTCTTGTGCGGAGGCATGGCGTTTTGACCTTCCGTTGCCTTTGAAGGAGCAAGTGCCGTATGTTCGCCAGCAGGAGAAGCCAGTACAGCGTCAGCAGCCACAGTAATGAGTTTGGATTTCTAACTCTTTTACACATCATTTCCTATTAGGGCCTTCTGGTTCGCTTACACACTTGGCTCCAACTCCAGTCTGATTTAAAGAATTTCTGCAGGGAGGTGGAAACTCAGTTAGCAGTGCCGTGTTCTCTAGGAGTGATTCTGAGTTAGGGAAGAGGACAGATGGAAATAGATGTTATTGACCGAAGAGCATGAAAAGATAAGTCATTACAGTTAGAATTGTGTGAACCATTGTGCTACATCTCCAGAAATGATCCCCAGGCAAGGACAATAGCTATTTTTTTTTTTAAATAAGCATATTTCATTATTCCATGGACTGGCCAGAATTTACTTGGGAAATTTTTCTTATGGTCTTGTTTGTGGTCTGACATGTGACCGTAGTCAGATGGTGACCAATACTGGATAGTCCACAATGGTTTCATTCATGTGTCTAGTGCTTTGGCAGGGACCCTGAAAAAAGGGGTCTCCCCTCTCCTTTGGGGCTCTAGGGCCTCTCCATTTCTCACTAGCTATGACTGACTCTCTGCATGACATTTTAGGGTTCCCTAAGGTGCAGAATAGGGGCTGCCAGGCCTTAAAGCTTAGGCTCAGAGCTTGCATGGTGTTATTTTGTCTACACTCGCTTGGTTAAATCAAGACACAGGCAAAGCTCAGCTTGAAGAGGAAGTGTTCACACCAAGGCAAAGGCATGAGTGGCAGGTGGGTGGGTCACCGACCACCAGTGTGATAGGCATGCACATGTGGTTAACTGTGGATCATCCTGATGCAAGGGGCGGGGGCGGGGGTGGAATTGTTTTCAAGGTGTCATAGTCTGAAAGAGCCCTTGACTTTTAAAATTGGGGTTATTTAAAATTCTATGGAGAGACTCCACATTACAATCATAGCTCATG